GTAAACAACCGGGAGAAACGATCAAGTCTCCATAAAGAATCTGTGGTCGCAGCCGCTCCCTCGGTGGTCTGGCCCGCTATAACTGGCTGGGCTGCTGTAGTAGGCTGTGCTGGCAAGACTAGTGGAACTGGCGCCTCTGGCTGAGCCGGCGCGACTGGAGGAGCTGGCACTACTGGCTGAACGGGGGCAACCTGCTGTGCTGGTGGTGCTTCAGGAGTCTGGAATCCCTGCGCCGCTAAGTCTGGTGTACGAGTCGCGGGGGTCTGCTGTCCTGCCCCGGACTGTGATGTAGCTGCAGCGGCGGTGGCTGAAACAATCTGGGCTAAGCCCGAGCAAGCTGTCATGATCTGAGCTAGGGCCTCCTGAAGGCCCGGAATGACCACTGGTGCAACTGGGGCTGGAACCTCCTCGGCATCAATATGAGGCTCCACTACTGGGGCTGCCGCTGGGGGCTGAACTCTGCCCCTACCACGGCCTCTAGCACGGCCTCGCCCTCTACCCCTAGCTGGAGCTGCTGCCGGGGCCTCGGGCTGCTGATCCGCAAAAGAAGAAGCTCGTGTTCTCGCCATCTGCGAAGAAAATAGAGTAGAAAGACAATCAGTATTTGAGAAACAGAATCGCACGACAAGAATGAAACAAGGGAGATTTTCCTAACTCCGTAGCCTCTGGGGGATAAATACAGACGTCTCCGTACCGATCCCTCAGACTCTACTAAGTTTGTCCGTGAGCTGTGAGACTCAATTAACCTAGACGCTCTGATACCAACTTGTCACGACCCCGTTGGTGGGAAATTCGGGTCGTGACACGTTAGCACCTATGGAGACGGCCATGAAAAGCCAAAAGTATGGGCTAAACCAGTGTCGATAAGGTTATCAGACTAAAGCAATGGGCAAAAGCACAACTCCAAGGTGCCAGATGGGGGATTTGGAATTTCAACGATTTTTTCCTCTTAATCCCTATGCAGGGAACTCTGAAATAAAACAAAAGCATAACTTTACATCTCATTTTATTTCAGTTAGTAAACAATAAAACTTTTAACCTTTGCTATCTGGGGAAGTAAATGAGTTAACACATATAACAAGATTTACAGTTCTAATCAACTGAATAGGCAATTAGCTGTTAACGGTAAAGACAATACCTAATTCTAAGGACCATACCTAATTCTGGGTACTTACTAACGATGATCTCTTCTCAATAATGCCTACTAATTCAAGAACAACAAAAAGGAAGCAGATTAACAAAAGGAAGAGCAAGAAGTATCAGCACAAACTGTCTGTCTTATTGTTTATTATGAAGTTCCTCTGCCGGTGACGTAAAAGATATGCCGGCAGCTAGCCAACTCCGCTTTCTAACGAGGTTAAGGTGTGACCTAAAAAACGCAAACAGCGAGACCTGGGGTCTCATCGAACGAGAAGTTCGAAGATGGAGACCAGGTTCGGCAGTCTAACTAAGCATAACAGTAGTCCACGGGCACTTATATTTAACCACATGATTACAAAATAGTTTTTTACTTTCTTGACGACAGAAAGAGCAACATCATAAAGACCAACACAAGCTTCAATAATAACCAAATTACAACCAAAAGCCTTTGAAGGATCTTGGATAGACAGAAGAAAAAAATTTAAAGTGTCATAAATGAGTTACTAAGCAATGGCCACATGAACCAAAATAAAAGTAATGGGAACATGTAACTACAAACAAACTTATATTTTTAAGCTACTTTTAATTTCTATAATCTCATATCAAATCTGCCATATTTGAAACTTCTTTGCAAATCAAGGCAATTAAGTACGCACAATTAACTGACATGAACAACAAAAAGAGGAAAAATGTCACTCTTGACACTACAAAAAAAAAATAGCATTTAGCGACGAAATAATCAACGTATTCCGTCGCTAAACACGTTTAGCGACGATATAGCGACGGATTCAAATTTGTCCCTAAAATCCTCGTTGCTAGGCTTATAGCGACGAAAAATATAATCCGTCGCAGACTTAGCGACGACATATTTTTTGTAGCGACAGATTAGCGATGACATATTTTTTGTAGCAACATTTAGCGACGGATACCTGTTTCTGACGCTATTTTGACGTCTCTCGTTGCTGTAATACCTAATAAAATTCGTCGTTTGTTCTTATAGCGACGAAATTGTCCGACGCTAGCCGTGTTATAGCTACTTTTTACAACAAAAATATTTTGTCACCAATTCGTCGTAAGATTTAATTTTACGCTATAATTTTAGCTACGGAACGTATTCGCCGCTGATATTTTTTTACTATATTGCTGATTTTTTAAAATTCTTTTTATTTATTATTTTAAATGTAGTCTATTCAAATATATTACATAAACTATTAAATACACTTAATAAAAAGTCTAAATTCAACAAGGTCAAAAATATATAGCATAATGCATATAACAGTATCATTAAGTACAAAAAGTCCACAAGGACCAACAATAATATACAAACAAAGTAAGCTAACTATACTAGGCTAGAGAGTTAATCATCATGAACCCAATACATGAACCTCATCAATCTTAGCAGCATGGACCAACAATATATTTTCTCAAGAGCGCTGACATCATCAAAGGAAACAACCTGCAAAGTAAGACAAAGTTAAACAAATTATTATTACAATATCAAAAAAGGGGGTCTTGATTCAATATAGTAAAATAGAAACATCAAATTGGCCTAAGGTTCGAAATACATAACATTAATAATAAAACTATAAGAAGAAGACTTGCAATAATTACTTTACGTTCATTTGCTTTAAGCACGCATAGGTAAAATCCATACAAAGAATCAATGCGTCAAAAGTTTCTTTCTAGTATCAAGTCAAGTTCCCAAAGGAGGAAAAAGAAAACAAGCTCATCTTAGAGGCACTCAAATAATAGCCGGTAAAGAAAGGTTGTACCGTGTCCCTATCTTATTTGTTAAAATCAAAGAAGATTATATTTCCATCCAGCACACAATACTAACTTAGAATTTTTTACTGCAAAAATATTCACCGTTAGCTTGTCCTACGGCAGAGGAGCTTACCACCAAGTAACTCCAGATTTAAGTGTAAAAAAATTCCCTACTTTCTATCGAACACACCACAGCACAGTGCGCAAGAACAGCAATGCTAAAATCAGAGTTGATCAATATATCGCCCTGAATAATGATGCATACCTTGTAGAAGGCTTGGTTAAGTTATAGCCTTTAACTATAAACTGAGCTCTGTCAGATACTGGCACAGCTATGGGTTTGACACATAAAATTGAAGTATGCTCAATAGTCTCAGACGGCAAGGGGACATCTAAAAGAAGCTGCCCTGCATCACATTATAGCACAAAGAAATACAACTTACTGTGTGGAATGCAATAGTGTAAAATATATCAACAGAAGCAGTTTTCTTTAGCGATTGTATATCTTGGGGTTTGGAAGGAATTTATAATGTCAGAAAACTCAAAGACAAGAATAGACCATCACGCACAAATGCAATTTGGTTTTGCACCCTTATGTGAATCCATCCTTTTCTCCAGAAACTATCGCCAGGGACATCCAAAAGCCTACTCAAACTGGAGCTCAGATCACAACAAAGCTGTATGAAGCAATATAATAATAGATGTCAACAGAGACCATAGACACAGCTTAACAAGTTCAACTTATTGCTTTCAACAAACATACCTCCTCCCATGCAGACTCAGGAAGCCGCAGATATACTGTTAAGACAATACAACCAGGCCTAATGAAGCTCTCAATCTCAGTTGGACTGTGGGATAGCCAGTCAAGAATCTGCAATTACAAGACAAAGAAAAAGAACGTATACGAGTGAGTACAATTACCCGATGGTACACAAAAGAAATTTCCAGAAGCTCAAGTTGAAGAAATACCTGTGCTCTTAAGACATACGGAAAATCACTACATATTTCATTTTTAAGACAGCAAATTTGACAATTCCATCGGGTACCTGCTATCTAGGTACAGGGTAATTCTACCTATCAAGGGCCATTTTACTTTACAATCCCAACTCTTACTCTAAATCAACCAACACTTAGGCATTGTTGTGAGAACCGTCCAAAGCAGCATGAGAACTAGCAAGAATATTGGGTAACTTATCCAATTTCTGACTTTGGGTTACATACACAAAACCCCCTGCCTTTGCAACCAAGAAAGCAAATCAACCAAGAAACAGACATAACCATCCCAAATGAGCTCAAAACATTTGCTACCACCATAACCAACAAACTCGAAGAACTCAAAAGGCTACCACCACATTTGCTAACTAACAAAAACTAGAACAGTAATGAACTGCCATCCAAATCAATTTCTTACATACCAACGTTAAAAGGAACACATCAAATCTGTCAAATAGATGCAGTAATGAAGAAACAAATCTAACATCGAGAAGCAGCAGTCAAATAGTTATATAATAAATCCTCCATCTTAAACTCAAATCATAAAAATAACTCCAACTCAGAATTTACGGGAAAAAATTATTAAAATACCTTATGATATGTGCAAATTCCATGTTGTTATCATATTTCGATCCATCTGCATCAATTTATAATGAATGTCCAGATTCCATTCTTACCAACTTTATTTGCACACTATGTTTCAAGTATTATTTCCAGCTTTAATTATTTAAATTAATTCTGTGGGAATGAAGAGACTTAGGAAGTTCAACAGAAAGTACTTTGAAGTACTCAAGAAAAAAGCCTATTGGCCTATTCTAAATTAAGATCTGCATTAATATCCATTAATTGCTCTTCTTTTAATAGAGCAACTGTTTATAGATCCTCAATCATGTTCAATCAAATAGAATATATATATATATATATATATATATAAGAGGGAATAGACAAGGTGACTTGGCACCTCTCTTTGGCCAAAGATCTTATTTATCTTTTTTCTCCTTTTTTTGGCATTTTTCTATCCCCTTTTTTATATATTATAAAAATCAAAGTCACTCATTTAACTCTTAAGTCTCTTAATTATGTTAAATAAATGTGCTATGTTAATTAGTCAGTTACGTACTCTTTGTATTCCAATTTCAAAATATTGATAGAAAACAACAAAAACATAACGGCCAAATAAAGATGATGGCCATTAAATCGTTACTATAAATTATGCTGATTTTCCAAGCTGCAGTGTAAGTATCATTGTATCAACATTTATTTGTGTGCAATAATTTTAATTTGTATGTTATAGGACTGCTAATTATGCGCCATTTTCTTATTTGTATAGTGTTATATTGAAGTTTTTGTTAATCTACTCTTTCCCCATGACTAAAAGTTATCTTTCTTTAATTCTTTATTATGATACAAGGGCAAAGAGACCAAAAAGGTCGTTCATACCATTCACGTTGGAAGGTAGGATCTCAAGATTTGTTGGTTCATTTTCATGATGATTTCAATTGCTATAGATTTTTTGCAACATAATATGTAAGAATTTTAACAAACTTTATACATTCATATTGCAGGGAGTATTTAAAGAGAAGCTGCACCACAAAGTACGTAGTAGAGTTTTGGAGGACCTTAGTATTTTCAAGCCATGAGGATTAAAAGTATGATGAATTCGGAGTACAATGGTCGACCCAATTGATAAGAAAAAGAATGAAGATTCAGATATTATATTTCCAAAGAAACATCACTTCTACAATAACTTCAGTATTTGTCAGCGTTGGATCGAAAGAGTTTATGCATGGTGTCTACTTATAGGCTATGCTTTCCAAGATTTATTATCTTTCCTTTACTCTAAGAGACAAAGTTTTTTTCCTTTTTTTTTTTTTTAGCATTTAAGCTTCCATCTCATTGTTATGTTATAGGTCTCAGGTTGGTAAAGTATTGTTTCAGTTTGATGTCGGAATCGGGAAAATATATTTTTCAATTTAAAGAATATTTTGATGTAGTTATTGTGCGAAAAGTGAATATCTTATGAGAAATACTCTGCGTTTTCATCTTTTCTTGCAATTATTTAGATGACACTATCTCAAGAACAAAAAGTATCTCCACTTTATTTCCTTTGTCTATTACTCAATATAATTCATCTAAAATATAATATTTTAAACACCAACTTGTGTTAAATCAGAGGTTTTGTTGCAGGTGTAACAAATGATACAAAACTTTGTCGATGTAGTGGATGAAGCAATTGGGAATAAATTGGTGTTATTTTCACCTCAAATAATGAATAAGTGGGCGTTTGGACATAAGAATTGTAAAATTCAAAAAACAAAAAGTGAAAAAACTTTTCAACTAAAAATAGTATTTGAAAATTAGAGTTGTGTTTGGACATGAATATAATTTTGGGTGATTTTTAAAGTTTTGTTAGTTAATATGAGTGAAAAATTTGAAAAACAGTCTTTTGGAGTTCTTCAAATTTTCGAAAAATTTCAGTTACATTATTTTCTTATTTTTGTAGCTAAAGTAAAATGTTTTGCTTTGTGGAGTTCTTTTTATTTGTTTATATAGCTAACTTTTATTTTTGTTGCTATCATATTTTCTTTCAAATCTGTTGTTCCTTCTACCTTCGCTTTGAATTCTTTTCTCCTTGATTAAGTTAATTAAAATACAATATCAACAAAAGATGACATTATCCATCGTTAGACAAGAAAACACAACTATATTTTCTCATTTTTAAAACTTTTTCACAATTTCTTTATAT